CATTTAATCGTTTCGTTTAATAATAATAATAATGGTAATAATAAAATAATAATAATAACAATATAAATGAAATGAGAGCTTCTAAGAAATTTTCCTAAAGTCTTAATAATGTAGAAATGGTGGGGTGGCATTTAATTCAGGTGCGGTGGGATGAAGTTTTGAACACTGAAAATATGCCAATGTGAAAGTGTCTTACCATTGCGACCACTACTTGAAGATATGTAGTAGTGAAGCACCATACTTTCCTTATAAAGAAAACGGAATCTGAATTGATAAGTAAGAAATATACACCATAACTGTTGCAGAATCACTACTTATTATTATGAAATGGAAATACCTTGTCAACTACATACGAAATGAATAGACTTGAAGACATATTATTATATTTGTTGTGGAAAAATATGCATTATGGGATTTCTTAATAAACGGATATCCAGCTCTCTCAAATAGTCACTGGGATACCGTGCAGATGCACATCGATCCAAGCTCGTTGAAGCTGCCGGTAGAAAGTAGCAATACTGGCAAAAAACGTTTCCGGAATTTCGGGACCAATATCTTCGTCTACTAATTCGCCAAAGAAACGCATCGTTTTGCAGAGACCGTTCTGCAGTATTATACTTTAGCATTGTTACTTATACTTGCTTTAGTAATCCATTTTGAATAAAAAAGAAAGCGAATAAAAATGAGAACAAGAACCTTGCACTCACGATAGCTACCCTTCACTTCCATTACTTTATTTCTAATCAATTCTCTGTATCCAGCCATCTTTCCATTACCATCCAAACGACTCGCTTCAAGATCAAATCGCAAATAGTCCCGCTCGAGGCGTCGTACTGTTGCAGAAAGCTCTTGGAAGTTCACTGATCACAAAACCAAAAATGATTTTTAGGTTGAATATTAGCTCTTTTTTAAAAAAAAAAATACATGATATTTTCCATTGCTTCCATATCCAGAGTAATCTTGTTCAGATCTCTTTAAGAATATAAAATTTCTAAAAATATTCATATATTGTACATTCCAATATCAACTGTCAAGCAGGCTCAAAGTTGTCTATAATGAACGATCAGGAGAGACAATCAATTATAAAGCACCTCACATTGCTATACAATTAAATTGATATACAGTGCAAAGGAATGTTTACTAGAAATGTTGCACGTTGTATCAACAACCGCAATCAGTTAATGGTAAGTGAAAGTAAGTGAATAACCTCGTGAAGCTCTCTCCAACGCTGGAAGAGTATCACGAAAAACACAAACTTCGGGGAATTCCGAAATAGTAGATGATGCTACAATATTCAGCAATGTTGTTTTTGGCGAGTTACACACTTCCGTAGCACATATCTGCAAAATAGCTATTATACTATAATATCAATGTAAAAAAAAAACATTACCGAGATTACTCAAGGAATTTACTGTAGCGATGGAAAAGATTGGTAGTATTCACTTTTGTGAGATCCGATGCCCTGAAACCTCGAATTGTTCTAGCTGTAAAATCTCCAATGATAAAATTCATGAAGACAAGAACAACACGCAGCAAAGCACGAAATCCACGATTTTTCTTCAGAATTTTCACAATATTCGTGAGGTCTTCGAAACTCTAAAACGAGCAAATCGATGAAATAAACAGGTAGGACTGAAGTAATCTGCTTTTTTTTCATCAACAATTACAGATGAACAGTGGCATTTTTTAGGAATTTTTCATGTTCACATCAGTCCCAAACTAAAAAAGGACTAACTTTCAGGATCTCTGTGACACGACTGTTAATATGCCCCATAAATGACATCGCATGCAGCTTTTCCTCTATCCGATCGATTTTCGCAAGCTGAATTTCACAACTGACTTTTTTCGAAAACATATGAGAGATATTCCTGCCGGGAAAATTAGGGACTCAGTTCTCTTTCCGTCAGAAATTAATCACACTTCGACCGATAGCGAAGATACTTCTAGCAACAGTATACAGGACTAAAATCCAACAAAGCCCCCAGCAAATATATCATGAGATGCTATTTGCTTAATATCTCACAGTATTAGTCAGATTTCTTTTTTTGACCTTAGACTAGGTGCAACCTTAATTCTCATCTAAATTGGAATGGAAGTATTCTTTTATTTTTCCACACTGATCAGTTGACTTCTTTCAGTGCTGACTTTTTCTAACAGATTCTAACCTTTAATAGGAACTGTTCATTCTCTCCAGTTACTGCGGCAGGATCAATGCTTTCACAATCCAACAAATAGAATACGTCCATAGAAGTTGGTGCAATATTTGCAATCAAATCAACTTGTTCTATCGGTAAGGCGTTCAGATCCAAGCTGAACAATAACTTTCGAGATCTTATTGTATGCAAAGTAAGATGAAGAAGAGGGTAAAATTTCTTTTATACAAGGCTTCCTCCTATATTATTCACAAGAATAAACCATTATCGATGAATGTCACTGCAGTGATGTAATCCCCAAAAAAAATTCTAGAAATGATGAAAGCGTACTGGCTATTACTAATGGAATCGGTCAAAGCCAATAATCGCACCAATCATTCATTAGGCGGTAGAAAGAATGCTTCCTTCTTTGAATAAATTAGAACTGTCACATGATTCTTGCATCCGATTTTTGAATTACATGTATCGTTTAGATGCGGATATTAATAAGAAGTATACAGGTGTCGCAAATGGAGTATCATCAACATCATAACAAATCAAAAAGTATGAAAATTTGAAAACTACAGGACCATATCTTACTTGTACAGTGCGTAACGAAGTTTAGTCAAATCAACAGATAGCTGTTGCCTGACTTCCTGAATTTGTTTAAGTTGTTCTTCTGTCACAAGAAATTTACCACCCATTTTGTATGGTTGTCGTGGGAATCTCTGAAATATTTGTATTGAAATTTAACAACAACTAAGCTCTAACAAATCTGATTCAATTATCGACTAGGAATATTTATTTTCACTTTTTGGATGTAAATAAAAGATAATTGTAAATAGCTAACATGGAGTACTTCATTTAATCGAAAACTTTCAAAAATAGTCCCTTTGAGTTGATCATTGGCCAGTATCCACCAGTTGACATTTTGTGGAAGATAACTGAAGAAAGTCATTTAGTTCTCAATCAAAATCAGAAATTTAAACTCAAATATTCAATGTTCGAAACTTCAACCTCCAAATACTCATTGTTACTTATCCAGTGATGGTAATAATTCGGACATACCGAGGACGAATATGATCGATATGTTCCAGTGGTTGCTCTTCTTCATCAAAATCTTGAACACTTGAGTCATTTGATTCTGTCTCTGCAATGTTTGCTCTTTTATGCATTTTTGTCCACTCCGGTTGGAAATCACAATTACCAGATCCTCAAAGCCTATGGTGTCAGTGGCTACCAATCATATTCCACAAGTAAATGGACAGTTCTCTACATCTTGTACTTGAACACATGGATCAGGTCCATGCAATACCTTCTCTAATATCATTCAGGAAATCGGATAACAGATATATATGGACCTCTTTCATAACATACCTAATTCTGCATCATGATTTACATGCTCTGACGAACTTGGCGAACTATCATTTGCAATCATTTCACTGTGGTCAGCTCCATTTTGACAGATTGTGGACCTATACTTGTCATTGTAGCCATTGGTTCCATCGTGATCATGACCGATATGGTCATAGTAGCTGTTAGTTCCGTTACTGTAACTGATATTCTTGCTGTAACTGCCTTTGATGCTATTATGCGGAATATTGCTAGTGCTAGAAGAATCTTCCTGAAAAGGAATTTAGTACTGTTTACCTCAAAAACATTACCCTCGAAAGTTTATTTTCATAATTTCCAATAACTGCTGATTAATACCGACTCCGGATACATACAATGATATGCTCTCTCTTTTTTTCCCCCTCCTAGCATTGACGGAGTGACCAGCAGAGAACAGAGATCCAATGTCCAACAATAGCCGCACTGAGTAACAGAATCTCTCGCTACATCATAAGCTGACAATGCGTATAGCGAGGATATACTATAGAAAACCGCAAGAAGCAGACGTTAAGGACAAATTACAGTAGTCTTGATCCGCAAATAGACAATGCATATTGGTGAAATTAAGAAAAGAAGTTAGGATAGATTTTTATCGTGTTTAATATTAAACGTGAAGTCATCAACAACCAAATTACCGGAGAACAATTTTTGAAGCAATCCGTACGACTAGAAGTAATGAAAAGTTAGCCTTAAAATATCATTCAAGTGCTATGCATGAATAAGATAATGCAAATAATCTTACTATATATACAATTACTGTGAACAAATATTTGAATAATGACTGAATTCCGTTGAATATAAATATGCATACCTCGCTTGGTGAACTCTGACCCGAAGCGCTGATCGGCGTTTGACTGATGGTTATTTCCGATTCGCTGCAAATACCGATGCTCCAAATGGAGGAATAACGAACAACATGCAAAACTGATAGACGTATCCTTATAGCTTGGTTCCGTAAACTTACTTCTGATAGTCGTTTTCATTTTTGACCCGTTTGTTGTTGGTCGGCGAACAAAGTTCATGAATCATTTCCTGTGCCGAATGTTTGATAGTCTTGCGGCGGCAACTGTGAGTGTACCGAGCTTGCTATAATGTGCAACTTTATGTAATTTTTTTAGACAAAAATAACAGTTCATGTCCAACTTGCCTTGTGCACAGTTAGAAAGGACGTGGGATAAGTGGACAAGGTTAGAAAGTTTCTCACTTCTCTTAAAATTAATTGTTCAAAATAATCACCGAGATTTTACTGGTTGATGCCACAGAACTAGCACTATTCCACCTTGAGCTGCTGTTAGATTCTGTATTAACTGTTGAAGATGATGAAGCAGTTGAAGGTCGGACATTATTATGTACCGGACGACCACGACCACGAACAGTCGGGAAACATCGTTTCATCAGCTGTTCCACTTCATCTGCATACTCTTCCATATGACTAATTGGTTCTTCCTGGAGGAAAAAAAACAAAAGCAAAAATGAAATAATTCATTTAGTGAAAATGTATTTCGCGAAAATGACTTTCATAAATTTCAGATGTAGAAATTCTTGGCTTGTTAGCAGTGCTGATCATTAATCGATCGCACTGTAAATACTTTTGCACCGTACAAAGCTAAAAGGTTCCATTTATTTGCAAACAACGACTTTCTCCCACATTTCAATAGTCCCTGACTTTGAAAATAGAAGCAAGTTAAGACAATCATATTTTAAATTATCAATGTATTTCAAACGTATCAATTCACTTTTGTGCATTCAGTAAAATTCTAGTTCGATTTATTTAAAATACATCAAAGTGAGCTTCCTGAACACCAAAAATTATGAAATCATAAATATCTTCATTTTTTGAGCTCGTTTCATCTTTTTCTGAATTAAGAAAATCCATTCCCAAGAATTTTGTCATATAATGAGTGAATGGCAAAAAGACAAAGCCCATGGACATGGTCTAAGTGGAAGAGCAGATAGATATCCTAGATGGAGAAACAAGTACGGCAATCATCCTAATGATGATGAGTAGGAAGTGAGCATGAAAACCCACCGTTAACCCATGCACTGTTGACATATGACTTTTGACGTTATTCTTCGAGTAGCTTGAACTAAATTTGCACTGTGGACATATAAACATCGGTTGCGCCACATGATGTTGTCTTATATGACAAGGTAATTTCGAGCTATGTACTTCTCGCAAACACAACTCACACCACTGAAAACTGCAGGGATAGCTCTGAAAAAGTTTACGGCATTAAGGACCATATGGAGAGCATAACAAACACTGTCTCTTATATAACTCTAAGATAAAAGAATAAATATCTAAATGCTAAAGGACAGGTCTGCTCTGCACGCTATATAGTCCTCATACTTGCCGATAACAACTAGAACGGTAACATGAAAGATGAAAATTGATATTTTTGTTAAGGTATAGGAATGTAAACTATAAAACGTGAGCGGAATTGATCGGACATGACGATACAATTGTATAACTCATCGTGAATTTAATACAGGTAAATGACAATAACTGTCAACTAGTTGAATAAAAAATATAGTTTAAAATTAGCACTTTTAAAAATGTAACTAATTCTACCTAATATTATGCGGCAATGACTAAGATCTGGCCATTTAAATTTTCGATATCACTATCGATCAATTTCCTTTACATCGTAATTTTTTTAAAAAATTTTAAGTCTAATTTTAGAAACCTTATTCACAAATAGAAGGTATTACGCTGACCCTTTTCCGACCTTTAAATTGTCTAAAATATAGCTTATCTCAGATGATCCCTACGAACCTCTTTCCAAATAATGGGATAGACACATATCGAATTTCTCGTACTGTAATCAACTACCTTGTCTAAAAGCAGTAATTAGGAACAAAATTATCTTTTGCAATTTTCTTCCATTCTAAAAAAATTTTTGCATAATTCGTCGAAAATTTTACGTACACGCTTCTTTTCTTTCGAAGGGCGCTGTTGTCGCTGTTGTTGCTGTTGTCGTTGCTGATGCTGTCGAGTGTTTACTTCCACAGTTCGTTGCCTGAGGTATTCGGTGAGGAGAGGTGATGACTGTTGCTGGCTTTGTTGCGGTTCGGTTAGCAAATTAAGACTGAAAAGATTGTACAAATTGACGTTACCGTACATCATCGATACGTCCGGTACAGACAATCCAAACGCAGCAGCAACCGAAGCTCCGGCTGCAGCGGCATCGGTTGCTTGCGGTTGTCCGCTGGTACCTGCTGCTGTTGTCCCTAACAAATTCTGCGTCAGGCAGTGAAAAAATTCAGCATTCAATCCGCTAGGTGTTACTGATGTTGTGGAAACAGTACCACCAGCATCAGTTGAATTATCGAACCGTTGCTGTAATGACATTTGCGTTTGCTGTTGTAGAGGTGATGACGATAGCTTTCGCTGTGTCCCATCATTTGCTGGCATTTTATAATTATCAGTTCAAGAATTGTAGCAATAGTAGTCCTAATTAGTGAAAAATGATGAAATTATTCAGATCCGAAAGCATTAGCAACAAAATACTTTATTCATTGCGGTTAGTTGGTGTTCATTATGACTAATTATAATTTCAGCAACAGAACCTGCAATTAAAATTGCCAATTAATTCATGGGGTAATTTTCAAATGAATTATATGCACGACTGGTAAACGAAAGAAGTAACTTCTATGAATATTGCACTTGATGATAAAAATGATATATTTAAAGTAGATATTATATTTCGTACGTTAAGCATGTTCGAGAATCATGACTATCATAATGAAATAATATTTATTACCCGTCAAGCTAATCCTTTGCTGACATAAAAGCGATCACATAAGCTGACCTTTGCACCTAGTACAAGTATAGGAATAACTATGAAAATGAGTGACAAAACAGGAAGTGAAACGAATGATACAGTAAGTTATCAACAACAATGAACTGTATTTTTATATTTAAAACTTTACTGTACCTTCACAATAGTAGGAACAGAATTATTACTAACTGCGAAACAATTTTTAATTATGAAAAAGAACAAATTTGTTTGTTATATTCCTTTGTTTGTTATGTCGTATTTCACGTAGTAATTCTGAAAGAAAGTGTCGTTGGACATTTACGATGCGCTTTTATCTATCTTGAAGAGTTACCATAAACAGTCAATTTCTAGCTGTATATTTGATAACGAAATACTTTAGTTGAATTAACCCATTTCTTGGTCATAAATTTCAAATACTTAAATTATCCCAAAACTTTGAACTGAGTCAAATATTGTTTCGCAACCTATCCAGTATCAGAAAAACAAAAAGCCTACAAGAAAGAGGTGGTATGAATAAAATGAAGAGAAAGAATGTCACATTAACAAACATCAAATAAACAGTATGAGAAGGATGGATGACAATCTGTGATTGTTTGGTTTTATTCTGTGTTATAAAAAAATTAAATCAACAAGGTGGTAGCAAAAGCAACAAATTATCATTTATTAATCAAAAATCAGTCAAAAATAACAACCTACTCTCACTATCACTATCATACTATTATACTACACCCTTCTATCAACTCATCATCCTCATCATCATCATCATTATCATCATCATCACCATTATCATCATCATCATTATTCATTTGTCACCTCACAAAATAAAATTATATGCAACATAGCCTATCCTTATTTCTTTCATTCTTTCTCCCTCGCTCACTCTATTGTCATCTCTTCCATAATTTCAAGCTGATAAGCAAGGACAGAAGATACTGTTAGAGAACATGACAGAATTTCTTTCAAAACCAAATCATAATCAAAGGTAAATGTCAGTCACGTTATCATTCAACTGTCACTTCTTAACTATCCGTCTTCGGCTAAGTATTATTCACTCTTATCGGGTTTAAATAAGCAATATAATCACCACCGGAATGAATTCCTCTTTATTGTGAAATAATTTGTTGGTCGAATGAGAAAGATTTAGGAAAAGATTTAGAACATTGCTGGCACGAGATCCAATTGTAGGATAAAGATATGGAAAGCATGAAGGAAACAATTAGCTATTCCGGTTAATCAGTACCGCTATCAACGGTATGTAAAAGTCCTTGGAAATGTTAACAAGAAATAAGGAAGAAATCTGTCCAAAATATCATCTACAATCTATGATTACTGATCATATTATTAAAGTATCAAAAAAAAAAGAAATCCCAAAGACAAACCATTTCGGATGGTTTTTGCTGTTTGTTAATTTGGGTTGTCCCATTACATTGACATATTATTCTCTTTCAGAATCTTATCAAATGATTACTATTTTTCCTCTCATATATCATTTAGGAAAGAATATGAAATTGGTTGAAAAAAGTCGGACTTGTTGTTACAGCATTATGCAAATAAACAAGTGTGCGCATAAATAACACCTGCTTGGAGATGTGCTTATGTTTTGCCTTACTGAACAGTAGCAAAGCTAACAAGATGGATAGTCTACTAACAGAGAGATTGCGGTAACAAAGTTTGATCCCTTCCTTCTTCCTATTATATACATATATATATATTCAGTTCTCAACTGTCCCCTGTTACAAAAAAAATACAGCTGATAAGGTTGTTTCCTAGTAAGTAAAAAGAACATCTGAGAAGGTCACCTTACTAAATTTTATTGTCATAAGATTCAATTAGATATTTCATTTCACAATAAATGGATAATACTGTTCCCCAGCAAAGCACGCTGTTAACGTATCAAAAAGTTTTGTTTGTAAAGAGCTGTTAGCAGTCAATAGCAAAATATGTATGAAATATAAAATTTGAAGGTGTTGGGAGGAAAAAGAAGAAATGAGAATGTCACAAAATACAGCAATTTGCCCAAATAACAGAACAAAATGAGAAGCTATTTTGGAAGATGTTTCAAAAGAGCGCACGACAAACTAAAAGAGGAGCCTATTTGATGCTGAGCGCAATGGTATTAGTTTCCGAAACTCATAAATGTCCCATATTTCGGGGAGGTTAAAGGCGGCAAAACTGTTACTGGTGTAAAGTTGACGCTTCTTTAACAGAATTGTATTCGTCAATCTCATACACGAAATAAATCCAAGTTTTAAAAAAAAGAAAAAGGTTGTTTCCATTCTGAATATTTGGTGACAAAAAAAATTTTTTTTTCTTGAGAAAAACAATATGACATAGAATAAGAGAAGCATACGAAGTCATTAAATCATCAAAATTACCGTATTTATATTACGTGTGGTGTTAAAAGTGCATAAATTGACGTTGTCATCTTTTTCTCTTTGTTGATCTTTACACTTTCCTCAGAGATATCAAGCAGATTCGTACCCGGTACTTGAAGAGTTCTTGTTCATGCGAATTACATTACTTGCCGTATTTAAAAGAGTTATGGAAAAACCCGAATGTAAGCCTAGCCAGACAGGCAGACAATGGTACTATCAGAATCGTTTAATAAAAATTAGAGCATATGCCGAAACGTATTGTGAACAAAACCCTATCATACCATTACAAACATTTTAAAAAAAACCGGCTCCTCTACTTCCAAGTGTTCTGTTCGTTCGTTCATCCGTCTTATGTTCCCCACCCTCCGGCTCCCGCTCCATCCCGCCCTTCTTCCTCTCCCATATTTGAGGTAAAGTAATGTATAGACAGACATTAGATGTGATGGAGGTAGTGTGGTGGTGATGGTAATGATGATGACAACGGGTGGACCAAACGTGAATTCCTTCTTTTTAGCTGAAAAATAAACTAAACTACTTTTCAATAAATACGCTACCACTACTACCGCTACAACTACCAACTTGTATTACTACAACTACAACTACTAATATTACTTCCACAACTAACTGTCAATTAACGTGAAAGTATTCATTCACGCAAAGATCCTTTCGATAAATATGTCGCCACTCTCAATGTGACAAGTTTTTCTAACGATGTGAGAGAACTTTTCAACATTCGAGAAATACAAGATAAATGGAAATGGAAGTTTCGGCAAAATCTTTTATCCAATTCTCTATTGATGAAAAATCAAAAAAGGGGAAAAATGCTTGCAATGACAACAAAGTCATCTTCATAAAGCGTAAAATTACTAATCAAGTCTCACTTCATCACTTCTCTTATCAATAATTTGTTGAATAAATTAAATGTAATCATAGATATCTGTAAAAATATCATCCTAGCAAAAGACTTACCAACGATATGCATATTAATGAAGTTGGCATATTTAATATATCTCTGCTGAAAAAGATAAATGGTTGATTAGAGGTGATAATAAGGTGAAAGATTAATCACAGTGAGGATTCCGGTATGGGAAGGTGGGAAGAACGGTAAGTGCGGAAAAGTAGAAAGGAAAAAAAATGTAAAAGAAATTTTGACGATAATTGAAAAAGCATCGATAAAGAAAGGAAGGAAAGGAGGAAATAAGCCATCAACGAAGATCATCCCTTCCTTCTTCAATCCTTCTCTCCTAAATTGTAAGACAGAATGTACAAGGAGGAAAGAGGACGGCGGGGGTGGAGGGCGGAAAGAAGTATACAGAAATTATGAGCTATAAAATTATTTCGTGAAAAAGAAAAGAGCAATGACAGGAGAAAGATCTACGGATAGGATAGGATATGATGCAGGGAGAAAGATAGGGAGAGGGAGAGAAAGAGAGAGAAAGGTTATAGTTCACAAAGACTAATAAACCCTAAATTAAACTTAAGTAGCAAAAATATTACCCTTTGCGCAATCTCTTCATTCACTCAAATTCTTTTTCTTTCACAAGTCTATTAGTTTCGTAGCTAACCGATCAATATGAAATAATAGGTTAAATTCCTAAAAAGCTAAAGCAATCCTCCTCATCCCTCACCGTTATAGCGATCGTATCGTATTGTATCGGATCGGATCGGATCGGATCAGTGAAGTGAAGAAATGAGTAACGTTGCAACCAGATGGCAACTCTCTCAGTCCTATCCCTATCACTTCATTCCCATACCGCTCCATATTAAATTGATTAGGAAAGAGTCTAATAATTATTCATTCATTTGATTAATTTATAGCGTTTAGAGGGGGGATTTCCTTCAGGTTTCTCAGAAAATTAAAATTTTCTAAGATGTTTTTTGCGCGTGTTTGTGTGTGACATAAACAATCAGAAAAATCGAATCAAATGGTTTTGCAGCGCGGAGGTGGAAGAACGGGGCGGGGGAGCAGAAATGCGGGAGATGCATTTGCTTAATTCGATCTGTAAAGGTTTTTGTTAGCGTAAAGAAAATATTCATGAGGCTACACGGAAAGGAACAAAAAAAAGATTGGTTGGACAATGGAGTGTTAATGAAAGAGAATAAAAAAAAGTGAGCGGCTGGTTTGGTCAGTTGGCGCAAAAAAGGCGCTTTTCGACTGTTGACATATATGGGGGCGGAGGTGTTGTGGGAGGAAGAAAGAGGAGGAAAGCATGCTGGCATCTTACTCTCCCTGATCTGGTAGAGTGGGTGGACGGGTG